GCGGCGGGCACCTGGCCTGGCCCCGAGAGCTGGGAGGGGGTGGGGCGGGGAGAGGCCAGCCCCTCAGCGCTGCCTGGCAGCGTTTGGCCCGCCTGGACCGTCCCCGAGCTCGGGGCTCCGGGACTCGGGCTCCTGCCCGACGCCGAGGCGGCTACCCGGTGGAGCGGGGAGCTCGGGGCCTGCCCCGGGTGGCTGTAGGGCTCCGGTGGGTGCCGCTCCCAGAGTGTCAGGCAGCGACGGGCAGCTAAAGCCCTTCTTTTAGGGAGAGAAACCTGGATCCCGGTGTCCAAGGCAGAGTACAGCCGGTGAGCTGTATCAGTGGCTTAGAAACCGACCGAGATGGGGTCCGTCGCCACCGGCAAACTGCTGGGGGGCTGCGGAGCTCCAGGCAGCGCAAGGCCACATCCCTGGGTGTGGGAAACAGAGCGGGATTTCCCCCGACTGCGTGCGGGGCTGTGGCTTGTGGAACGGGGGGGTTGAACCGGGGCTCCGTGCTGATGTCGACCCATGCCAGGTGAAAGCAGGTTCCTCTGGCCACGGCACAGGTGAGAAACTGGTCCGGTAGGCCTCCCCCAGAAGAGGAACTGGCTCGTGGCAACGGGTGCCTTGCGGAGTGTGGCGTTCCTAGCGAGGTTTGTTTCTGTGCTGGGCCGCGGTGAGAGAAGGAAGCGGCCCCTCTTCTGCCAGTTGGCAGCAGGCTCTGCTCTGGCCTGGGACTGCCACCCTGGCAGGCAGGGCAGCACTTGGAACCAATCCCTGCCCTGCCTGGGTCTAGCTTCCCGGTGCTGCGCCGCTGGGAAGGAGCCACCTTGGCTGGGGTTTCCCTGGAAGGGGATCTCTGCTATGCCTGGGGCAGGAGGGGGTTGGTGGCAAGCCCAGGTGCCAACATTGCCCACCAGGAGCTGTGGGGCTCCGTGGGACTTTCAGGTGAGGCCGTGGCCACCCCACTGTGGGGCAGGAGAGGTTCTCACCCATTTTGTTTTCTGCTGTTTGCAGCCCGCCTGTCTGATGCCGCATTGGAAGTGGAGGGTGCCGCTATGGAGCGCCGGGATGGAGGCCACGCTCTGTATCCACACGTGCCTTTGGCTGAGCACTGCCTGGATCCCCCTGGCATCGTCAGACAGACTGGCCTGTGGTGGGGACCGCGCTCCCAGCACTGAAGCCCGGCATGTCAAGTTGACCTGGGCTGTCAGCTTGGACGCGCCTGAGGAGGAGCTGGAGCAGCAGGCAGAGGAGCTGGCCCGGACCGCGGGGCTGGTGAACATGGGCCGCGTCGGGGAGCTCAAGGGCCATTACCTCTTCACCTACCAGCCTGACGGCCGCGCAGCAAGCGAACCTGAAGCAATAAGGAGGTCGGTGGACACTTTGTTTGCACAGCATGACAGCGTGCGGTGGCACTCGGAACAGAAGCTTCTGAAACGTTCCAAACGCAGTCTGCACTTTAACGATCCCAAATACCCCCAGCAGTGGCATCTGGTGAGTGGTTTTCTGGCTCCCGTTGTGCCAGCAGGCTTGGGCCCTTTGTCTGGCTGCAAGCGAGCTGTCATGTGGCAGGCAAAACAGTGGCTTTCTGTCCTTGTGGTGAGGAGGAAGCATGCCGAGAGTGCTCACTGCAATAATGGGAGGAGGTGGCTCCCACAGCTGGCCCCGCACCGGTGGTGCTGGGGTGGGCAGAGGGGTTTCAGCCGGAGCACACTGTGCGGTCAGCAGGCTGGAGCGCGGCATCGGCCCTGTGGTACTGGGCACTCCACTTTGTGGCTCGAGCAACTTTTGCTCACTGTCTGTCTAAAACAAATCTTCCCTGACCATCCTGCGACTCCTCCCTGCGCTCCCAGCCCGACCCCAGCCCCAGCCCCGCACGTCGTAGCCAGCATGCCCAAAAGGTCTGGGAGCCCCTTTCCTTGGAGCTGACCCTCTGCTTTGCTTTTTCTCTCCCCTCATTGTCCTTTCTGGTGCTTAGAACAACCGCAAGAGCCCCGGGAAGGACATCAACGTCACGGGCGTCTGGGAGCGGAACGTGACGGGGCGCGGTGTGACGGTGGTGGTGGTGGATGACGGTGTGGAGCACACCATCAAAGACATAGAGCCAAATTATGTGAGTGCCAGCTCCACGGTGGGAGGGTGCAAGGGCAGGCTGGAAGTTGGGCAAGGTGAGAGTGCTCGGTTGCTGGCAGACCTGTGCTGTCAGCCTGGGCTTGGCCAGGGTGGGAAGAGCTGATGGCAAACCTTTCCTTGGGAGATTTTGCACCTGAGTTGCAGGCTTACTGACCTTTGTGCTACCTGTGGGAGGTGGCTGCTTAGAAGTGAGAGCTGGCCACCCTCTGACCCACAGCAGTTGCTAAAGCTGCTGCTCTTCGTCCCCTTCCCGTAGCAGCAGATAGCAGTGTTTTGCTGCAGCCCTGTGTGGAAGCAGTCTCTAAGTTCCTGTGGCTTCCAGGCTGTGTTTCAGCCCGTGCAGCGTGCTCTCAAGTTCTGCTTTTCCCAAAGGGAGGAGAGCAGAGCCCTGGGTCGTGACTGCAGGTCTGTTTTCAGAGCCCAGAAGGCAGCTATGACTTGAACTCCAACGATCCTGACCCTATGCCTCACCCTGATGAGGAAAACGGCAACCACCATGGGACCCGCTGCGCCGGGGAGATTGCTGCCGTGCCAAACAACAGCTTCTGCACGGTGGGGGTTGCCTATGGGAGCCGCATTGCAGGTACGCACGCATGCCACGGCATCCCAATGGGCCGCGCTCGTGCCCAGCTTGTCTTATCTCCAATTCTGTGGGGCCTGGGCATGGCTCCATGGGAGGGATGGCTTGGCCGAAGCAGCTCTGACTCAGCTAGTGCCTTGCTCAGGCTGGTCGCTCTGTCAGAGGGAGGAACCAGTGTCTGTCTGAGCTCCTCTCCAGGGGAGCCAGTTCCTGGCAGAGCGGGATGGGTGTGTGCTGGGGCAGCTTTTCCCAAGTACTCCCAGCATGCCATCTGCCCAGCCACAGAGCTTTTGGCAGATGCACATCCATACCGCATGGCCAAAGCCAGGCAAACGTGTGATGACATGCAGCGCATTGGGAGGCCCTGAGGAAGCAAATGTTTGCCAATCCCCCGTGCTCCCTCAGCCCTTGGTCTCGGCTCTGCCTTGTGCGGACAGACAGGTGGCAAAGGTCTGGCTGCGCGTCTCTCCTCTTCAAAGCCAGGGAGTGTGCCACTGTGGCCTCAGCTGTCTCCGGCACTCTTGCGCCCCTTCACGGGGTGGGGGGAGAGGTGAGGTCTCTGTGCCAGGCGGGATGCATCTCTGGCAGAACAGAGGATGATGCTGCTGTGCTGCAGCCTGGGACGTGATTCTCTCCGTACCCGGCAGATGGTGCCACGTTTCCTGGCTGTGACAGCGGGCTGGGCAGTGGGTGGGCCCTGTGGTGCCAGGAGGGTGCTGGGGGGCCGGGAGCTTGCCCAAGGGCACTGTAGGTGGCTCTGCACCCCTGCCCTGCGCTCAGCTCCCTCCCTACCTTACCCCGATGGGGCGCTCCCTGAGCAGCCACCCTGATCATGGTACAGGAGGGTCCCCAGGCTCCAGCCAGCCTAGAAGGCTGCAGGCAGATGCTGCTGATGGAGCCCAGCTGGCAGAAGGAAAGATGAGCTCACAGTTTTAACTGCAGCGTAGGGAATAGGGAGGGTTTAAGGCCGCATCGCTCAGGTGGGACCTGGCACTTCTTTGGGCTTCAGCTCTCCAAAGCTGTGCCTGGCCTTGCAGGGTGAGTGCAGTGGGGCAGCCTTGAGTTCTGTTGGGGGGCAGGGGGACTGCCCTGGCAGCATGAAACTGCTGGAGCCAGCGTGATGCCAGCCGGGGCAGGGAGAGCCAGGGTGAGCCAGCACATCTCTAGCTGGGCTGCTCTGCTCCTCCATGGGGACAGCTCAGATGGGACAGTAAAAAGCCGCCTGTAGTGTGTCAAGCAAGAGCTGAGAAGGGTGGGTGGTTGTACTGTTTATAAATAGGCTTAATTGAGATGCATGTCTGCTTTCCATTTGTAACATCCTTTGCCAGGCTAAACTGTGATGCGGAATGGTAATTATCAGTGGTTTGGGTCACTGAAAACTCAGCACTGAGCCTTCATTGGCTTTGTTGGAGCAGCGGCCTTGCCCTCCTGGTCTGAGCACAGTCGTTGGGGTGTCCTGCGACTCTTGAGCCCTTCCCTCAGCAGGCAAGCGTGCCGTCCATCCCAAAGCGATGGCTGGTTGGTTGGCAACTTGGAAGGAGAAGCAATCACTCCAGGCAGGGACTAGCCCTGAAAAGCAATGGGATAGTTGAGGGTGGGATGTGAGGAAGCCCCTGTGGAGCAGCGCTCTGGGTAGGGGGGCGCAAGGGTGCATGGGAGCGAGCACAGCTGGTGTTTGGTTGTGCTGTCACCATCACCAGCTCGGTTCTGGCAGTGCGACTGGAGAACTCGCTTGGCAGAAAAGCCATGCTCAGCAGAGGATGTGGAGCTGCACGTGAGGGTGCACCTACAATCCCTCACACACATCTGGCTCCTGTGGACTGATCTGCAGGGCTACAGCTCCAGGAGATCTGGTTCTGTCAGGCTGGGAAGGCGAGTGTCCCCAGCGTGAACCTGCCAAGGCATTTATTTGCACTGTTTATACAGCTTACCTGGATCCACTTCGGTCACGTTCGTTGTCCTTTGTCCTGCAGGAATCCGAGTGCTGGATGGGCCCCTCACCGATAGCATGGAGGCCATTGCCTTCAACAAGCACTATCAGATCAACGACATCTACAGCTGCAGGTGAGCCCCAAGGGGACCCTGAGCCGGGCCCTGCCAACACCCAGCGAAAGGCTATGGGCCCCACTCTGCCTGGGGAGGGGGTCACAGATTGTGGCTGAACGCTCACGCCAGCTCCTCTCCTCCTGTGGCTCCAGCTAGCCTTCAGGGACCGAAACCAGTACCGCTGGTCCTGTGGGTCCTGTGAGCATGCCTGGCAGGCAGGCAGCCGGGCTGTGAGGTGGCGGGTCTGTCCCACAGTGGGAACACCCTGCCTGTCCCCCCCGGGCTTGGCACCCACCCATGCCCTGCTGTCAGGCTATCTCAGGGGCTCTGTGCAGCTGTGCCTTGAGGGGGTCTGCAGCCAGGTATGTAAGGTGCTGCTCTTTGTTACTGCTGTTAAGAGTAACAGTGGTATTGCTGTTACTGGAGAGCTGGCCTGGGCTGTGTACGGTACCTACAGTTGCGAGGCTGCCTTCCGAGCGCTGCTCCAGCATCTCCTTCAGGCTGGCTGAGCTGGAGGGGCACTATGCCCCCCGCTGTGGTCAGGGAGCCCCGGCTGAGCTGTGTGATGGGGACTGGAATGTGTGAGAAGCTGGTTGTTCAATAAAAAAATCAAACATTTTATCCACTGGAATCTGACCCAGGGGCACAGTGCAAACACAAGAGCGATATCCCAGCAGCAAGGGGCCAGCCTGCCAGATGGGAAAGTACAGTGCCCTCTGATCCCAGTCATGGTGCTGAGAGTAGCTGGGGGGCTGCTCGTAGCTCACTGTGGTGGCAAACTGTAATGGGAGGAAGAGTTGCTGTCTGCGACTCCTGGGGCGGTCTCTTCATGGTGTCTCTGTTTGCAGCTGGGGTCCAGATGACGATGGGAAAACTGTGGATGGCCCCCATCAACTGGGAAAGGTAAAAAACAGTCCCAGCAGCACGGGTCACCCCTGGGCTGGCCCTCCGGTGCTTGTGGTTTCTCACCTGCCTTGACAGGCAAGGAGGGATGTTGCTGTGGCGCAGCACACGTTTGTTTGCTTCCCTCGCTGCCAGCAGAGGTGTTGCATGTTACTGTGTGGTGGGGAGAGGTGACATTGCTGTGGGAGGGCAGCATTCTGGCAGTAGGAGATGAGCTTTCCAAGGGGAGGCTGGTTCCAGCAGGAAGATGCTCTTTCGCAACCCGTGGTATTCTTCTGACAACTTTTGCAACCCAAGGGACGCTCTCCGCTTGGGGCACTGAGCACTCCCAGTGCTAAGGGTGGTTCTCAAGGCAGGGAGCATGCCTTCAAACGCTAGTAGTAAATAAGGGGCGGGGGCAATGGCTGCATTCGCTCTCAGTGGGACCGCAGTGGGGGGAAGTGTCAGAGCGGAAGCTGCTCCTTCCTGGGCCGTTAAAGTATTCTTGTGGCACCTGTGCCACAGAGCCACTGCAAAATGCAGCCAGCCTGCCCGCGCCTGGCTCCTGCTGCCCAGGTGCGGCGGTGAGGGGTTGCTGAGGAGGCCCTAAAACCAGCACTGCATTGCTCCTGGGATGTGGTTCTGCTTGATTACTCTTTTGTTCAGCAGCCTTTAGCTGTATTTTTCTAACCACAAGATAGGAGTTACTGTGCTCTTCAGCACAACGCTGACAGCTGAGCTATCAGTTCGCAATGACAAATGATTTCCAGTTCTGCAAGTTAATTTATTCTCTTCCTGCATGCAGAGACAGCTGTAACAAGCACTGGGGCACAGAGTACAAGCAAAGCCCACTTTACCGCAGCAGGGTGTCTGGAGGGCGTTCTGGCCAATGCAGTATGGGCCTTTACCTGCCAAAGGGCGGGCAGAGGAGGAGGGTTGGTTTCCAGTGGGACTGCTTTCTTGCTTGTCCATCAGAGGCATATCCTTTTTCTAGGCAGGAATGACTTCTGTGCAAGGTTTCGGTCTGGAAATGTGCTTCACAAGTGGGGCTGGTGTAGTTGTGTTTCTCAGCAAAGGCAAAACCCAGGCATATGTGGGAGCTGGAGCCTCGCAAAAGGGCAGCAGCCCCGTGTGGGTAGTCTCTGTCGGCAGGAAAGCCTTGATGCTCTGGAAAAGCCAGCTCCGGAGTGAGCCCTGCTGAAGTAGGGTGGGCTCGGGCTGCTATGTTTCCTCTGGAGTTCGAATGCTGGTCAGTCTTTGTGCTGTGATTGCCTGGAAGGTTGCTTTTTCTTTGTTTATTTTTAACACAGAATCCACTTAAAATCATAGTAAGCTGTAGATCGGCCGTTCCCAGAGGTTGGCCGCATCGCTGCCTTTGTAACACACTCATTCTGGAATCTCAGCGTCTGGTTAGGGCTCTAACAGACACAACTCCCTGACGCTGCTAGCCGGGTGAAATACGATCCGGAGGGGTTGTGGCTGGCCCTGCTATCACCCCAAGTACTTGGCAGGGCTGGCTGGTGAAATCTCAGAGCGTGTGGACTTTGGTTGCTGGATGGGGATGCCGGAACACAGCTTTCCAGCACGTCCTGTGCCTGCGAGCAGTCTGCAGGGCAAATGCTTCCCCAGCTCGGGAGAGGCGCACGTGTCCGTCTGCGCTGGGTTTAGCAGCGAGGTGTGCTGCGAGGTCCGGGAGAGCCCCGCACCCCCACGGTTCGCAGCCACGTGTGCCAGACATGGCTGCTGGCAGAAACCCTCCGGGGTCAGTGGGGAAGAGCCCGGGAAGGGCCTGCCTGCCTACATGCCCTGACCAGTGATGGTTCCTTCTCTACAGGCCGCCCTGCAGCATGGCGTGATAGCGGGTCGCAGGGGCTTTGGGAGCATTTTTGTCGTGGCCAGTGGCAATGGCGGGCAACACAGTGACAACTGCAACTATGACGGTTACGCCAACTCCATCTACACTGTCACAATAGGTGAGTGCATGCATCTTCTGTCTTGTTCCTTCCCAGCGTGGAAAGATGAGATCATCCCAAAAGCACAAAACCTGCCCAGCTGGAAGCTGGCTGGATAGGGGGAATCCATGGGAAACTGTCTGTCCTCTGGGAATGAAAGTGGCAGCGTGTAGAGGTGTTCTGGGCTTCAGCCCTCAAGCCTGCAGTTTTCTTGTGACGTACAGAGCAAGAGAAGGCCAAAGAAATTTCTGCCTGCGTTCAGGCCTCCATCACTGGGGCTCTGACAGACACACTGCCGCGTTGAGGGAGTGACCTGAAAGGCAGCATTCCCATCATTGTGTGTTGGAAAAGAGATGTCTAATCTGCTTTCTAGACAGCAGAAGCTACGTGAGGGCTAGAAGATCTGTGCAATACTAAGCACAGTGAAAGGTCATTTGTTGTGGCTGCCTTTCCTGTAGATCTTCCAGCCATGAAAAATACAGGCTTGTCTCTGGTTTCCCAGCCCAGCTCCCAGCCTGTGAAAAAGCATGGTTAGCAGGAGAGGTTCTCAGGGGCTGGTCACCTTGCAATTTGAGCAGTTAAAGTGAAACAGGCTTCATATGGTTGATGCCTTTTGCTTTTTCCCAGGTGCAGTGGACGAGACGGGCTCCATGCCGTTCTATGCCGAGGAGTGTGCCTCCATGCTAGCGGTGACCTTCAGTGGCGGGGACAAGATGATGAGGAGCATTGTGAGTACCACGCAAGGCACATGTCTTGCCCCCGTGCTCTGCTGGCCGCACTTGGCCGCGGGGCTGGAACAGCCCAGTGCAGGGAAGGGACGAAGATCCATCCCTTCCGATTGCTACGCATCTGCCTTAGGCCGGTAGTTGGGTTCCTCTGTGAGGCAGGGAATGAACGTGTTTTTTATCTAGGTCCTACATAAGCAGTGCTCTGAGAGGGAGGTTCGTATTTCTAATTGTTCCCCGTGTCGTCACTGTCTGTCAGCCTGCAACTTGCAGTGTGGTGACCCTCTCTCCGCACAGGTGTTGGCGGGTACACCACATTCCTGGCCCCAAACGCAGATCCTGTGTGTGTCATGTTTGTCGCCTCAAGTGCAGGCAGGATGTCAGACCTAAAGGGACAGTGACTGTGCTCCCTTATCTCCCTGCTCTGCACTGCTGGGAACTGCAGGCAGACACCTTCTGGGATGGGGGCCGCTTGGGTGACCCCTAAGAAATTCCTCTGCACTGTGTCCCTGGGAATGTCATCCGGGGAGCCATCAGAAGACAAGCTTTATCCCAACTGCACGTGTGCCCGCTTTGCACAGCGAGGAGGGAGCCTGGAGTGAGACTCCCATGCTGCTGCGAACTTTCCTGAAGAGAAAGGGGCAGGGGCAGCTGCGGCTCAGTTCGGCGGGGGCTGCGGCACCCCCTGTCCAGCCAGCCCCACCTTGCTTCTGCTCCGAAGGGATGCGGGAGCATGGACGAGCATGGAGGGCTGGGAGCAGCATCAGGCTCTTTAAGCTACTTGGCCCCAGTTCCTTCTGCGTTCTGGCACGTGTGCCTCTCCCAGCTGAATTTTTCAGAATATTTTTATCAGCTTTTCCTTTTTTTGCCAAAAAATGACTTCTTGTCAACAAAATGTCCTTTTTGCCCAAGCCAAGTGCCCGGGCCTGTTTTCCCCAGCCCCAGGCCTGACCCAGCATGTTCCACCCTCAGTGCTGGTGCACTTGGGGAGCTAGTCAGGCTAACCAGCCCGTATGGCTGTGACCTGTTCCTGTCCTGCAGTGCCAGCAGGGACTGCAGAGCCCAGGCCACCCTGGGGCAGCTTGGAGTAAATGTCACTGGCTCCCAGGCCCAACTGTTAGGGTTGTCCCTGGCTGGGCAGGCACCGGGAGGGTCTCCTGTTGACACAGGCAGTTCCCAAAGGCACTTTTCTGGAAAAGCTGATGAGGCAGCAAAGACCTAGTGCAAGATCAGCACCAGCAGTGTGTGCTGGGGGGTCTCAGGGCACCTGACGAACGAGGGACGGTGCCCAGGGTGTTCTGCGAGCAGGGACGTGCAGCTGTGGCTCTGTGCCTGCCAGAGAGGAGCTGAATCCAGGCTCGCCAAACAGGCTTCCCCGCGTGCTGGGCAGACCGGGGGAACAGGGAGAGCCTGGGTTCCTCAGCCACCTGGTTGGGACTCAACAAGCTCCTTTTGCAGTCCAGAGCCAGGGCAGGAACCCATGCCTAACTAGAGCACGGCGTGATCTACCGGGAGCAATGACTCGGCTCGTGCAGCAGGGAAATTAAAATCCAGAATGGAGCTCATTTTTCCTTTCAGAAATAACGTCAGCTGTCCCGGGCTGGTTTGGAAACTACTGACGCTAGGAAGAAAGAGAATGGCAGCCCAGCAAGGGCTCTGCTGTGTTTTCATCAGGGGTTACAGAGTTTGGGGTTTATGTCCATCTTCCCCCAAGCCTGCTACAGGTGAGAGTGCTTCAGAGATCTCTCGAACGGCCCTTCATTTCGAATACTGGCCTTACAGGACACTGATGCAGGAGCTGGTATTCCATCGGGGAGCCAGGACGAGATGCTGTGCATAGCCTAGGCATGGCATGTGGCAGAGAGCTGTCCTCTTTCTTTGCAGTACCGCAATCGCTCCTTCAGCAAGCCGGTGCCATGTTAAAACTTACACGCCCCTTTCTCTGGAGGATAGTCTCCTCCTAAGTGCCCTTTAACTGTGCTTCAGTGATCTCAGAGTTAACTTCTCTGCAGCCATCTGCTAGGTTTTTTTCTTCTACCAGACTATAAACTTTGTGTGGTTTCCTTAATGGGAAGAATTTATTACGGCTTCTGGCACTAGCTGCATTTTCTACTGAACGTTTATGCTGCTAAGGGTGTTCTTTGTAGGACGTGCAGTGTCCAAGTGCAAGCTGGAGTTGTTAACAGCTGGCAGAACGTTACGCAGTCAAGCACAGAAGGCAACAAAACCTACAGCTTTTGGCAGTGCTAGCTGTCTCCCCATGGGGAGCACAGGGAGACATTTGGTTTGCAGTGAGGTGGCATCATTTGGGGACCTCCCGATGCCTCCTTAGGGGCTCTGTGTGCTCTGCACAGTCCCGTATGATCCCTCTGCAGAGGCCCGCTTGTGCTGGAGTGATGCTGTGGTCAGCAGTGAAGACGAGGAAGGTGCCAAACTGTAATTGCCCTGAGTTTCCCCCAAAGTTGCCTAGTTCAGGCCCAGTTCCTCTCTCTCTTGGAAGGAAACTAACTATGTTCATTGCTTCGCAACTGGGATGCGTTGTCCCTGAAGCAAGGGTCTCCTAGGACTCTTATGGTGAGCCTGAGGTCCTGATGAGTAGCGGCTGTCTCAAGCAGCAGCAGCTCATTCGAATTGGTATTTTGGTCCTAAGGCAGCACAGCTCTGTACACGTGTCCAGAGTCCCCTGGAGAACATTCACGGTGTTCGAGTTGGAGGGGAGCATGCCTCTCCCTGAACTGGTGCTGGTTTTCACGCGCAGGGAGCAGAGGTGTCACCTCCAAAGGCCCCAGGGATGTTGACTGAAATCGGAGGCTTCTTGCAAGAGCTGGTCCAGCCTCTGTAGCTGAGCTGGCTGCGAGCAGGGGTGAGGGGAGCAGTGCCTGTGTGGGACCTTCCTGTGCCTTGGCTATTGCTCCTGCAGGCCAGAGCAACCATCTGTGGTCCAGAGCAGTGTAAAGCTACCGTTCCCTATCCTTAGCTAAACACTGTGCAAACAGTGGCTGCAAAGGTGCTTTCCTGCCCTTACCCTGGGGAGAAGCTGCCTGAGCCACTCTGCTCAGCCCTACACTGGACTGTTTGCATCCCAGTTCCCAGCACAGGGCCATATCTCTCGACTGGGGAACTGTGGCATTGTCCTTTCCACCTTGCACTGGTTTTTGCTGGGTACCCACGTCCTGGCCAGGAATCGTCTGGGAAAGGTTTCCACGCTTTTCAGCAGCTAATCCCTCACCCTCTCCCCCTGCTGCTGCCCTGCTCTTGTTGTTCTGGTCTTGGCTGAGGGAGGATGATGGGATCTCTGGCTGCCCCTCCTGTCTCCCAGCCTGATCTCAGCAACCACAGAGAGAAAGAAAGCTCATGTGCTGCAAATTCCTCCCTCCTGTCTGGGGGGAGGCTGCCTGTCAGGAAGAGGCAGCTGGGGTACAGACAGATTAGATGTGGCTCATGCAGGCAGGGGGTTAAGGGCCACCACCCCGTGTCTTTGCTCTGGAGGGGGAATCCTTGGGCATCCAGAGAGCTCAGGGCTGGGTTGGACGGGGCTTTGAGGAGCCTGGGCTAGTGGAAGGTGTCTCTGCCCATGGCAGGGGGGTTGGAACTAGATGATCTTTAAGGTCCCTTCCAACCCAAACCATTTTACGATTCTATAACTTTCTCATTTTGTCTGAAAGCCTTGTACAGAGGGGGTCAGGCTGTGGGTGCTGGCCTTGGCATGCTGTATTGGGACTGGGTGCTGCCCCAGCTCACCTTTCCCTGCCTGTGTTTCTGTGCGGTCGCACGGAGGCAGGAGGAGGTGTCCCTGGGCGAGGGACCATGAACACTCAGCCGCAGTCCCTCCTTTTCCTTCTGACATAGCACATCTCTTCAGAAGGGGCATGAAGGTGCTGTGTGAGTCTCTGTGGTGCCCTTTAAAGGCTGCTGCGTGCCCCGGCACAGTGCAGAGAAGGCCAGCTCTTCGGCTGAACAGTGCACGTACCAGTGCTCTCCCCTGCCGGGGCTGTCATGCTCTGATTCCTGCTCTATGCCAAACCTTGCACCCCTCTCCCTGCTCAAAGGCTTTCCCATCTGCTCACCTGGGGTGGACCGTGTTCAGACAGACACGCATGGCTGGGCTGGCTGCCTGGTAGAGCGGGGAAAGGCACTGCTGGCCCTACAAAGCACCCTTGTAATTGCCGTAGCAGCAGTGCAGCAGGGGCTGTGTTATCTCCTCTCTCCCCCAGGATGGTCAGCTCAGCTCGGCCAAAGGCCTCCTGAGGTGGAGAAGGTTTTCACTGTCCTCAGCAGATAATAATTGGGTGACCCAGAGGGCCCTTGGCGTGGGAGGAGAGTGCCAGCTGGGGGGACCCAGACTGCTGGGGAGGAGAGCTGCTGACTCCATTTTTTCTCCCCTCTCGCTCCCAGTTTTCCAAGCCTCCCCTTCATGTGTCCAGCCAGCCTGGGGGGCATCTTTTCCTCCTCATCGGGCTTGTGGTAGAGCAGCAGCAATTACGTGAGCGTTGCTGACAGAAACGCACCAGCAGTAGATCAGCACTCGCAGGGCTGTCAAGAAAACGCACCAGCTTGTCCGCTACCCTGCACACTGTTGGGGTGCTCATGCAGTAAATGAGGACCCCGGCCTCCATGCAGGGTGCCTGGGCTGCCCTCGCTCACAAGCTCTCCACCATCTGCCTTGCTCTCTGCCAGGAGCGCGTCTGCTGGCCCTTTTTCTCCCTGTTGTGTTCGAGCATTGCTCATTTCTTAGCTGTATCCAGGATGACGGGGGGGAGCCTCAGAGCCCCCATCTCCCATGCCCTTTGCATAGTGTGGGGGGCACGCTATCCTGTGTCCCCAGGGCTTTTGCTGGCAGTTGTGTCACAGGCTAAGCATGCGCTGCTGGTGGAGCTGGCGTGGCGAGGGCACAGCTTGGGGCCGGGACTGCATGCTCGGTTGCTCGAGTACCAATCCCAGCCACCCCAGCATGGCAAACAGTGGCCTGACAGGAAGTATCACTTCTCTTTTCTCGGAAGGTGACAACAGACTGGGATTTGCAGAAGGGCACGGGCTGCACGGAGGGCCACACGGGGACGTCAGCTGCCGCCCCTCTTGCAGCCGGGATGATTGCGTTGATGCTGCAGGTGCGGCCATGTCTCACCTGGCGAGACGTCCAGCACATCATTGTCTTCACTGCCACCAAGGTGAGTGGCCCTTCCTCTCTCCCTCCCTCTGTCCTGCAGCTGCCCTTCAGGGATGCTGCAGGATGGCTGAGGTCCTGCTGTGCACATCTTTGTTTATGTCTGCCTGCCCCTCTATAAATCTCTCAGTTGTCTGGCTCCCAGCAAAGGGATTGCGTTTTCCCCTCGCCCCTTGTTCCATCCAGGAATGTGGCTGAGGCATTTTCCTCTGTCATGATAATAAATGAGGTATCTGCTCCAGGAACGCCTCCATCTGCCAGCATACAGGTCTTCCAGGGGCTCGCCATGCCTTGCCCGCAGGCACCGGGATGGTGTGTGTGCATGCAGTGTGGCTGGCCCAGCTGGAGGGCCGGCACGCATCTCTGCAGTGCCACCCCGCCGTCTGTGCAGTGGGAAAGCGAGGAGCTCTGCCTCTGGCCTTTCCTCGGGCTCTTCAGAGAGTCGGGCTCTTGGAAACAAACATAACACCGAGCTTGGCAGCAAACACAGCCCTTCCTTGCTCTCAGCCTCGACTCCAATGCAGCTTCACTGCAGAGTGGGAACTGACTGGAGCTGCCCGATTCGGCTTAGGGACAGGGCTTCTTTCACACCCCTCTGGGGAGCGGGGGTCCATGTCCAGCTAATGCCATACTCACTTTGGCACGGGGCTATGTTTACCATAGCTGGCAGCCAGCATTGCTGGAGCACTACAACCTGATAAATGATGGGACCCAGATCTGTCCTGGCCCAGCTCTTGTTGATTTAAAGGACTTGCTTCCTTCTCCCCAAGGCTTCTGCCATCCCACAGGCTGGGGCTTGGGCGGCAGAGAGCAGCTGGGATGTTTCAGAGCAGAGGCATTTGTGCCCTTTTGTGCTGCTTGATTTCCTTTCTGAGGAGCTGGGAAGCCTGTTTGTCCTGGGACTTGTTTCAAACAAAGGTCAACCTGTTTCTTTCTAATAAGGCCATGTGGGTTTGCTTCCCCACTGCTGTGGGATGTTTCTGACCCTCCTTCCCTTCAGGCCTGGTTCCCTTTCCTCTGGGTTTGCCAGGCTGCTGGTGTCCCCCAAGGTAACGGGAGTGCCCTGCATTTCTTTTCAGTACGAGGATCGCCACGCGAAGTGGGACATCAACCAGGCCGGCTTCAGCCATAGCCATCAGCATGGCTTTGGCTTGCTGAATGCCTGGAGGCTGGTGAACGCTGCCAAGGTAATTCCCCTCCCTGTCCCAGGTGTGCCCCATGGGCAGGTGGAGCCAACACAGCCTGGTGGCGGGGGCAGGTCCTGTACTGGCAACGCCGTAGGGTGACCCTTGTTGCCGTTCAGGGCCAGCGCTTTGGCCGTCATCCTGCCGGCCCTCGCTATAAGGCTGCTTTTGGTATGAAGTAATGAGACTTTCGGCAATGCCTGAAACCTGCCCCCAAGCTGCTGCTCTCTCAGCACTATATATAGCCATGGGCAAGAGCCCTCACTGGTGGGAGACGACAGCTCTGATTCATGGCTTGGGGAGTTCCGTCAGCAGCCCCAGCACCTTCCTCCCTATGCAATGGGCTCCAGGGAGGGCGTCATGCCCCATCTCTTCCTCCCTGTGCCTCCAGTTGCATGGAGACCAGGGCACATCCGTTTGGCACATGGTCCTCAGTTGTGCGTAGAGCACCGTGCAGCTGTGCTGGGTCACTGCTGGTTGCCAGCAATGCCCCCTGTTTTGCAGGGACTTTCAGGCTGCTCTTTTCCTGCAGGCCTTTGGGTTCTGCTACATTTTGTGCCCCACTGTGCCTGGGGTTGAAACAGAATGGCTTCAAGTAACGCTCAAAGCTGCTCAGGTGGTGGCAGAGATGAAGCCAGAGCTGGGCAGTCCGGAGTCTCGATCGGCCCCTCTAGCCTGCAGGCAGTCGCTTTCCTTCTGCTCCTAGGTGTGTGTGGGGGCACTCCTGTCCAGCCCTGTGGCACTCATTTGCTGCAGCCTGGGTTCACATGCCCCGGAGCAGCGTCAGGAGAGGCCCCTTGGCCTCACACAGTAGGTGTGCTACTGACAGGAGCAGCTTGCAACAGTGGTGGGAGATGGAGAGATGGATGCGCAGGGAGGGTGCAACCTCGTGCTGAATCCTCTTGCCTTTCCCCTGACAGATCTGGGAGTCCGTCCCATACCTTGCCTCATATGTGAGCCCTGCACTGAAGGAGGGCAGGAGCATCCCGTTACTCCCACAGGAGCTGGAGGTCACCTGGAATGGTAAGAGCAGGTGTGCCACGTGAGAGCATGTGCTTGTACACACCAAGGCCAGGGAGGCAGCCTGCTCCTGCTGGCATGGGGCACAGCTGGGCATGCGGACAGCCTGGCAGGGCAAGCCCTGGGCTGCTTGAGGCCACGAAGGGGTTAAGTGTTGGGCTGCCTGGGCTTTTTCCTCTCTCTTCTCTTCCTGTTGCTCTCCCTCCCCCAGGGGATCTGTGTCAGTCGATGTGGTCCCCTCCCCATAACTCCATCCCCTAGACTGATGTTTTTGAGGAGCCAGACAGGCATTAGCGAGCATGGCCAGGCTGGGCAGCAGCCAGACCTGCTCCTCTGGCTTTGACCATTTTAGGTAATGCTCCAGCTCCCGACTTGGCCAGCCTCTGTCCACATAAACAAGGCACTGCTCCGGCTGCTACCAGTGGGAAGGAGAGCTCGGCCCCAAGCCCTTCCTGGCCCTCTCAGCAGGGCCCAGTTCTCTGGCTGGGCACTGCTTCTTGCACCGGCCCCCTCCCTGTCGCACGGGGAATGCTGTCCCAGGGGGCCTGGCCCTGCACCCCTCGCTGCCCCAGCTGCAGCCTCTGCAGAGGTGCTGGGGGTTGGCAGTGCTCGGAGGCTGTTCCCCAGGACAGAGGACCCCTGGAAAGAATCTGGAGCTCGGCAGGTGGGCACCCCCCTTGCAGGTGGTCCTGTCCCTCCCCTCTTTGGTGCAGACTGAGGAGAAGCTGGGCAGGTGCTGGGCACATGCTCTCCCTCTCTCCTGTCCCTGCCTGGCTGGGCTGGGCTGGCTCTGCAGCACGCTGCTCCCTTGCAGGTACCAGCACTGCAGAGCCCCAGAGAGGCAGAGGGGTGACATCAGGCTGGCAGCGGGGTTAGCTCCGCTCTGCCTCTGAGCAGAGAGTTGGAGGTGAAGCAGCTCCTTCTGCCCTAAAAGGAGTTGTGAGCTGAAAGCCAGGCAGCAAGCAGAGTTTGGAAGAGGCAAAAAAGAGGCGCTCTGGAGAAGTATGTGCAGAGGAATGTGTGGCAGAGGAATGTGTGGCTGGGGGGCACTCCTGTCCCCCAGGTAACACAGGCGGATGCCGAGTTAACCCTTTCCCAGGGTGGCCCTGGGGTGCTGGGCCGGCCCGCCGCCACACGCAGGCTGCCTGGTCCTGGGCTGCGCCTGCCTCCCTTCTTAGAAGAGGCTGGGGAGCACCCACCTGCCGCTTGGCCAGGGCTGCCAGGAGGAGACCGAGCCACGGCCTGAAATCCGCTCTGAAGAGGGCCAGGGTTTCCTGCACTATAATTAGCAGTGCTGGGGCTGGGACCGTCTGTGGAGCTGCGAATGGTTTGAGATAGGATCTGGGAGCCTGGACACCAGGCTTCTCATCCCAGTCCTCTTTCCAAACCTGGCCCCTGTGTAACTGGGTTCAGAGCAGCCTCTGGGGCTGCCAAAAGCTGCCACAAATCCAGGGCGGGGAGAATTTGATGAAGGACCAGGTATTATTTCATTGCAGTGGCCAAAGCGCTCTGGGTGGGCTCCTGAACCCACAAGCCGTGAGTCAGGGCTGGGGGAGAGTTGGATGTCAGGGAGCCTGCGGGGCAGTGGCACATGCTGTGTAGGCAGCAGCTGGGCCCCGCTTGTGAAATGAGGATTTGGTTGCAGGCGAGAGGCTGCCAGTAAACGACAGGGCAGGGAGTCATGCCTGGGCCTCATCCTTGTGAGCAGAGGAAAGCGTGGGTTCCTATCGCCTTCCTGCTCGTCTTCCTGCTCTGGGACGTGCTGGGAGGTGCCCGGGAGGCAGCTTTCCCACTGCTGCACAGTTGCCTTCCACCCCTCCTTCCTCACCGCCTACTCCTCACCCCTTTCTCAGCCTCCTTTCCATCCTGTCTGGTCCCAGCTGAACTCAGGCAGGCAGGGGACAAAGGGCACAGCTGCGGGCAGAGGACAGCCACTACCGGGTGCCTCTTGCACCTCTGGTCCATGTCAAGCAGCCCAAGCACAACGTGGCGTGCCCGGGAGGGAGCGTGCCAGGACACCTTTCCCTGTGTTAGCCAGGGAGGTGCATGGGTGGCTCCGCTTGGACAGACAAGGAGGCTCCTCACAGAGCGTGGAGCAGGGCCAGGCTGCCGAGCGCAGCGTGGCTTCGTTGGCAGAGCCTCCCTACGTGGGGTGTGGCTGCCCTGGGTCCTGCTTCTTGCTGCGTGGGCACAGACACAGGGGGGCAGCCGGGAGGAGGCAGGGACAAGCGCGTGTGTCCTCTTGAGCACAGCTCCATCCCGGCCACCAGCCTCAGCAAACCCTGCCTTCCCTTTCCCAGTCACCACCGCTGACCTGGAGCTCTCTGGCATGAGAACCCTGGAGCACGTGGCAGTCACCGTCACCATAACCCACCCCCGCCGCGGCAACCTGGAGATCAGGCTCTTCTGCCCCAGCGGCATGATGTCCCTGATAGGGACCACCAGGAGCATGGACTCGTAAGCACCGAGGGGGTCAGGGTGTGGAGGCTCCCGCTGCAGGGCAGGACACCCAGCCCAGCTGGCCCCGAGCAGGAGAGCCAGGGCTCATGTCCAGCCTTGCGGCTCAGGCAATGTTAGCCTCTCACGGGTTGTTTCTCCTCACCCTTTGGCAGGGACCCCAATGGCTTTGCTGACTGGACCTTCTCCACGGTCCGGTGTTGGGGCGAGGAAGCACAGGGCACGTACAGACTGGTCATCAGGGACATCGGTGAGTCCTGCCCTCCAGGGGTCCTTCATGGGGCGGTGGCAGCAGCTCTGTGCTGTGGCCTGAGAAGCTACCAGCTCAGCACCTGGGCGGCCGCAGGTTAGCTCTGTGCAGTGCCACCCGGCCAGGTGGGAGAGTTCCCTGCTGGACCAACCTGTTTCTTCCCCAGGAGATGAGAGCCTAAGGCCTGGGACCTTGAAGCAGTGGCAGCTGACCCTGTACGGCTCCTCCTGGTCCCCAGCAGAGATGAAGGAACGGCAGAGGTAGGACACCACAAGCCCATCTCGATGGGAAGACAGGAGATGGAGGGCTAAGGGATGTGATCGAAAGTCTCTGAGCAGGTCCTGCTTGGCTGGAGCAGCGTTGCTGCGAGGCACGTGGCAGGGCGAGGCTGCAGCACAGTTGCTGGTCCCTGGCCCAGGGCCCTGGGGCTGCCCACAGTGCACTTCACAGGGGAGCTGTGGGCTGTAGGAGAGAGCTCTGTTGGCCGTATCTGACCCAGGAGGGCAACCCTCAGCAGTGGAAGAGGCTCTCCGGACCCTTTGTGGGCATTTGGGCCCCTCCCTAGAGCAGCCCTGCCTTTGGGACCCTCATGGGGTGCCTCTGTCCCCCAGGCTGCTGGAGGAAGCCATGAGTGGGCAGTACCTGAGCAGCGACTTCTCCCTGCCCTGCCCTCCGGGGCTGGAGATCCCCGAGGAGCAGCACTACACAATCACAGCCAACACCCTCAAGGTGAGCCTGCCTGCGGGCCAGGGAGACTGCCGGCTGGAGCCAAAAGGGGAGACCCCGTCCTCTGCAGGAGGGACTGGAGGAGTGGGAACCTGCCTCTCTGATCCTCCTGGCGCTGTGCCCTCTCTGCTGGGCAACGGGGCAGGGCTCCAGGGTGGTTGAGAGCTTTGTTTCTTAAAGGGTTTCCTCCTCTGCAGACCCTCCTGCTGTTGGGCTGCTTTGCCGTGTTCTGGACTTTCTACTACATGCTGGAGGTTTGCCTGACCAGGAACAATGTGGGGCTTGACCTGACCTGCAATGGCTCTACCACCTGCAAATGGTACCAGCAGGGAGGGAAGCACAGAGCCCTGGAGAGCGGCCTGGAGATGGAGTCTGTGCCACTCTACCAGGAGAAGGACATCGAGGATGTCGAGATGGAGTGTGAGCACCCAGAGCCTGCCCGGGAGGGTGAGGGGGACGAGGGATCCTGGACCCCCACCCACCCCAGACTTCCCAGCAGCAGCAGAGCCGCCAGCTTTCACGAGGCGGCCGCCGCTGGAGCGGGGTACCTTGGCCGGGAGGCAACAGCCGAGCTCCTCTCAGAGGACAGGGAGCGCCAGACGTGCTAGCTGGGGCTGGGGGTTCAGGCTGCATCCCTCCCTCTCGCTACGTCCTAACCAAGCATGGGCAGCAGCGACTTCCTGAGCCACCAGGGACGCTTGCCCTTGTGTCCTGCAGAAGGTGGTGTTGGAAGTGGCTCAGAAACAAGGAGTAAGAGTGCTGGCAGTGGAAGGGGAGCTTCCCTTTCCCTCGCTCTGGAAAACAAAGCAAGCCTTAAACCCACACTGAACGGAGCCTGCCCTGCAGTGACACTTGGGGCTTCCCTTTGTGCGTGGAGCAAGGCCTCATGAAGACGCCTCCTGGGTGCGTGGTGGCCATGGCGGGGCTCTGCACAGAGCCCTGTGCCCGCCACGGCCCCCACAGCCTTGCAGCATGAGGAAGAACTGTTGCTTTCTCCCTCATTTCTGCAGAGTGAGCCTGGAAAACGTGGCAGGGCCCCTGGCAGCCACCTCTGCAGGCAGGGACCCCACAACACTGTCATTCGCCTGCCCTGCTGGGCTAGCAGCTGGCCAGTACCGACCAGTTACGCCCAGCTTCAAAGCGGGGAGCCATTTTGCCAATCTCCGACCCACGCTTGCTCCCTGTCCCCTGTGCTCTGATCCACCACCTTCTCCTCCTCTCCCGCCAGCACACGAGCAGCCCTGCGGTCGGGGAGTCAGAAGGCAGTGGGGCTTTCTTGACCACCCTGCTCAGGACGGGCAGGACGGGGCTGTCCCTGCTGCGGTGGGCGCAAAAGGTGGCAACTCAAGCTTGCCACAGGTATCGTGGCAGCATGAGCTCACTGCAGTCGCTTCCCTGGGTCTGCCTCCCCACCGCTTGCTGAGGCCTTGGTCGGTGCCCAGGAGGGATGAGGCCATGGGTGATGCCGGGTTTGGGCCAGGCAGAGGAGGTTGAGTTGCTCTGGCAGCGGCTCATCTGCGAGCAGGGTTGGCTTGTTTGTGTGTCCTTGGGTTCCTTGGTTTATTTTTTTAAAGCTGGGGTTTGTTTTTTAATCGGCAAAGCCCTTTTGTGTAGCTTTCCAAATAAAGTCTTAAAAAGCCTCCTCTCCCCCCTCCGTCACTCCTCTGCCCTCCCAGCACTTTCTTGTTGTGGAAACGTGAGTCACCCCCTGCACCTCCCAGCCCCGGGGCCTGGGGGGATGCAGTGCCAGGGTGCTGGGTCCGCTCGTGGCCCCTCGCAGCCCTCCATGCCTTCCTCCCTGGCAGTCAGGATAACCGGGGCTGCTCCAGGCCAGGGGAGAGCAGTTGGAAGGAGCTAGGAGGAAGGTGGGTGCTGTGGCTCGGGTGGGAGAGGGCAGAGCCACCCCGCAGAGCTGTCTGAACCAGGCAGGGAGAGCCCAATCCCCAGCTCTGGTTTGCCCAGGTTGGGAGCTGGAAGCAGGAGCAGACGCGGCCCAGGCGACCTGAGCAGCTTTTACGGAGGGTGGCTTTGGCTTTCCTGGCACCACCGGCCCAGGGACGACGGGGCAGGCGGGAGGAAACCTTGTCAGGCCGCACTAGATGAATAACCTTTTAATTTTGACAAAAAAAACAAAGTACAAAACCGAGGCCAATTTTCTTTCTCCCCATTCGCAAGGATCTCTGCGGCGGTGGCGCGGGGCTCGTGTGGGGCTGTGGGCAGGCGGGGTGGCTTCCCACCCGCCATCCCGGGGAGGGCAGCAGAACACCCACAGGTGCCGGCGAGCGCAGCAGGGACAGGACCGGCTGGCAGCAGGGGCTCACGGGGGTGCAGCAGGAGCGTGCGAAGCCGGAGGGGAGAGGCTGCCCGGGGCACAGCTGCCCTGAGGTCCCCGAGGCCGGGTGCATCGCTGCGGCTGGGCATGTGCTGCTGTTGGTTGCGCTGAAGGGTCATTTGGGCTGGCTGGCGTTTTCTTGTCAATAAATACCAATTGGTGAGGGGCGGTGGCGGCCACCGGTGCTCGGGTGGCTGTGATGCGCTGAGCCGAGGGGAGTGAAGATGGAGGTCCTGGCTGGGGCTGCTCTCCCGGCAGCGGGAGGGCTGGGGGCGGTGAGGGGGGCTGCTTAGCTGATGATCTGCCGGGGCCGGCCATAGCTCATCCCCGCCTGTGATGCCCCCTTGTTGCTCCCCATCTGTAAGCCGATGACGTTCTTGCCCTCCTTCAGCTGGCTCTCGGTGAACTCCCGCTTGTGCTCCTGCGCTTTCCTGCGGGGTGTAGGGAAAGACCATGCAGCACCCACCCCCCTCCCTGGGGCGGCTGGATCCTTGTCCCCGGGGCGCCCAGCAGCCCCCACTGCCCAGGGGTGGCCCAGCCACCCCCCACTTCCCAGCTGAAAGCTTGGCATCCTGCGTCCATGTGCTCCGGGGTGCTGTGGGGTGGTGGAAAGAGCCCGCTCCAGGCAGCCATGGGGCAGGGGGGGTCCCCACGCCCGGGACCACGTTCCACTCACTTACTTCATGAACCAGTTGGGGTCCCCGTGGTAGTGCCCATCGTTCTTGGTGACCGCCAGGCTTCCCAGGGCCATCAGTGTCCTCTGCACTGCTGCCATGTCCTTGGCTGCCGAGGGACGGAGAGGCATGAGGATAGGCATGGTGCAGCAGCCCCAGCCCCCACAACCCCGGCTGCCCCCCCCCACACCTTCAAAGAGGTCGACAGTCTGGAACACGTCCGTCTTGACCACGCCATAGTCCTCGGCCGCCTTGAGGAACTGGGCGATCTGCTCCATCTGCTTGAAGACCATGGTGGGGGGGGTGTCGGGGATCTTGACAGGCTTGGAGCCATCAGGGTAGAGGCTGTTTACCAGCCTGCTAAGGACCTGCCGGCAGAGGAGAGGCTGGGCTTGCTGCGCTGCACATGCTGCCAGCTGCGGAGCTCCCCATCGCCCCCCCAGCCGCCCAGCCCTGGAGCCAGCGGGCATAGTGGGTGCCCGGGCTTCCCCACTTACGATGCCGTTCTTCAGCCAGACCTGGAAGCCCAGGCGGCCCCGCTCGGGGCGACCCACCGCCGCCCCGCACTGCGCCACGATCCACTCCACCAGCCGGTCCTCCAGCTCGTCATCATACTTCTTCTCGATCTTGGACTGGACATCCCTGCTCATGCCATATGCCGGGCCCTTGTTCGCCATGTCTGCGGCGGCTGGGAGACCTGGCGGCGGGATGGGGACTGTCAGGCTGCGGAGATGCTGTCCCCCTGCGTAGGGACCCTGCGGCCACCCCAGCACCCTGTTGCATCCACCTCCCACCTTGGTGCAGCAGGGACGTGCCCTCCTCCTGGCTCTTCCCTTGCCACGCAACAGCCCTTCAGCTCCATCCGGGCGCATTTGGAGGTGAGTGCATGGCCGTGACCACCCCCCAGCCTGCCCGGACAGACGGTTCCCATCCCGGCAGAGGTGCCTTGTCCCTGCTCCCTGGCTCAGGCTGCGCAGGAGAGCAGCCTCATCCCCGTCCCCTGCCTGCTCAGCCACCCGCTGGCTCTTGGTCGGCATGAACGTCCCTGGCACGGCTGTGCCTTCCAGCTGGAGCAGCCATGCTGCCCCCACGGGGGCTGCAGAGCAGAGGGGTCCAGGTGGCAGGGTGACAGCGGCAGGGCTGGGTGGCCATGGCACAGCACAGTGGCCATGGCATGGCGGGGTGGCCACGCCATGCCTGTGGTGCCATGGGGTGGCCTCGGCACGGCGGGTCCTGGTGCCGGGGAGGACCGCAGGCGAAGCAGGACTGTGGCGGGAGCCGTGCCTGTGCCCTTGTAAGGGCATGCTGCAGGCAGAGATGGCAGGTAGCTGGCTGCGGGTAGGGATACTAGGGAGGATGCCAGGAGGGAGAGGCGCCGGGAGCCGGCAGCCGAGCCCTGGGTGGAGCTGGCCTCACACCTCCCCGCACAGCTCCCTGCTTGGCATTAAGCCACCAAGTGCAGGGGCTGCGCCCTCAAGGAGCCGTGTGCCCGGTCCCTGAGTCCACAGTCATCCCCGGGCTGGCTCGCCCCGACCTCTGGGGCAGATGCGCCTGGATTCTGCAGGTTGGGCTCCGAGACCTGGCACAGCTCGGTGCAGTGGAGGACACTGCCCCCGCTTGCTGCCAGCAATGCAGAGGCACCCCACGGGTGACACAGAGGTACCCCACATGCCTCGCAGGCAGCCTGTGCCCATCTCCCATCCCCGCCGAGGCACAGGGCAGAAAGGGGTCAGCAGGGGCTGGAGCCTCAGCACTGCCCTGAGCCCCACATGGCCGCTCCGGCCACCGCAGGGGCTGAGCCCAGCTGACCCGCAGCCGCGCAGCCCTAACAGCAACACAGTCCTGAGGAGCAGGAGCAGCCCAGAACCCCGGGCAGTGTCCCCAGCCCAAGCCTCAGCTTCCCCTCCTGGGGAGCCCGACCCGCGTCCGGAGAGCAGTGTTGCAATCCAAGGAGCAACATCCCCATCCAGGGAGCGGAATCCCAATCCCGGGGAGCGGCATCCCAATCGGAGGAGCAGAATCCCCATCCGGGGAGCAGGCTGGCAGTCCCGGGAGCAGCATCGCCATCCCAGGCACAGGGTCCCCATCCTGGGGAGCAACAGATCCATGCCAGGGGCTGGCGTCCCCACCCTGGGCACCCTCCCCACTGTCCCCCCCGCCCCAGCAGGACTTACAAGCAGCTGCTCACGGAGGCGAGGGGTGATGCTCTGCGTGGGAGCCAGCACACTGCACAGTTAGGAGGCTGACCGTGTGCTAAAAGGCCGGCGCTGGGACAGTGATGTCAGCGCGGTCTGGGGGCCAGGCCCCCCCGCCCTCCCTCCTGGGGCACGCCAGCCTCGTAGCGCACAGTGACTCCGGCCCAGGCACCATATTTGGGGAAAGACTCCGAAAATCAGTGACTCAGGCCCATGCCCAAGCATTCCCCGCGTGCCTCCACCCCAGCGGGTTTGGGGGCAGGGAGGGAACGGGGCCGGGGGGCTGATGGAGTAAGTCCTTTTATAGCCAAGCGCTCGCTTGGCTGCGGCAGCCGTCGAGGGTTTCTGCCCTGACTTCATGGCTGATTTCCCCGTGTGCTCACTGCCGGGGAGCTGGGGCAGCCGAGCGGGGCTTCCTGGGCGGCCCCCGCAACCCACAGCGTGCCCTGGTCAGGGCAGAGCAGCGAGGCTGCGGGCATCCCGCAAGCACAGCATCATGCCTGGGCATCCCGTGGGCATCCCCCGGATTCCCTCTGCCCCAGCCGGGCACGGCCTGCTCGCATGGGCCAGGGCACAGTGAGGCGTGCAGCAGCCCTGGCACCGGGCTGGGATGCCAAGGGGAGCCCCAGCACCCTCACTGCCCGTGAATCGGGACCTCCCTGCGCACCCCTAACCCCCCCCCACCCCGAGGCTGCCAGCCTTGCTGCTCTGGCACCACGGCACCCCCCACAGCATAGGGGGTCTGCGGGGCAGGAGGGCGGCAGCAGCCCTGCCCAGCCCCTGTGCCATCTTCCCTCTCCCCAAGCCCTGGTGGAAAGGAGAAGCCACCGCCGCAGCAAAGCGTGGCTGACATCCAGTGGCAGGCCGGCAGGGCAGAGCCCGCTGCCCCCCCCGGGGACCCCCACTGCCCCCCGGGCTCCCACTGCCCAGGCAGGAGGCGGCAGGCACTGGCAAAGTGCAGACACTTTAATGCGAGTCCCTTCCCAGCAGACCCACGCGTGGCGAGCAGGTGGCAGCCTTGGAGGGGAGCGGTGACAGGGGGCACCCAGTGGCCACCCCACCCTCTGGGGATGCTGAGGGAGACGTGAGCAGGGCCTCCCCAGCCACTGCGCCGGACACACCCCCCCTCCCCACCTCCCACCCATACGACTCAGGCACTGAAGAGAGACCCCCCCACCCGCGTGCCTGGGGGGGGCCACGGGGCTGCTAGCATAGCACTCGCCCCGGCCCCACTGCGCCGGGGTGCACGGACCCAGAGCAGCAGCAGCACCTTTTCCAGTGTCACTCGCCACCGAAGACAAGGTGCCCTGGCGGACCCCCCAGTCCCCCTTCCGGCTACGACAAGCCCGTGGACGGGCATGCAACACCGGTGGGGGGGGACACCCGGCCGACGGGAAGGAGGCACGTCGGGATCCCAGGACTGCGCGGGGAGGGGGACGGAGTGGCTGGCGGGACCCGCAGCACGGGCATCCCTCCCCGGGGGCTGCGGCCAGGCATTTGGCACGGGGCCGGGGCAGCGGGCGGCTGCGGGCCCCTAGAAGACATAGATCTTGTCCCGCTGGACGCAGTCCAGGTCATCGTCCAGCGTCAGCAGCACCTGCAGAGCAAGGGAAGCGTGGCAGCAGTGAGCCGGGGTGGCCGCGGGCAGCGGGCAGCCGTGCCAGCGGCAGCCAGCACCTACCAGGAAAGAGCCGAACATGGCAATGGAGGAGAGGAAGTGCCAAATGTCATGGTCGTCAAAGAAGTCAAGCAGGATGCAGTTGCGGTTGTGCTCCCGGGACTCGGCCGGCGTTTTCTGTCAGGAACAGGGCCAGCTGTCACCGCACTGGCCTGTGGCCACCCTGGCTCACCACCGCACCACCCTCCCACTTACCTGCCAGGTGCTGAGCCCCTGGAAGAAGAAGAAGAGGGCGAAGCCCCAGACCACTGAGGTGCCAACGATGCAGAGCAAGGGGATGAGCTTGATGCGCTCGCCGCTGCGGAGCTGCAGGAGAGGCCCGGGTCGATGTGCAGGCAGGATCTGGCAGGGGTGCCCGTCCCTGCCCAGCCCTCCCCACCGGGCAGGCAGCTCCTGCGCAGCCAGCTTGTACCTTCATGATGATGTAGAAGGCGAAGTAGAGGAGAAGGTTGCAGATGCCGATGGCCAGCAGGTAGGAAGCAAAGTCATTGGGGCGGACGATGAGGCCGTAGGCAGCACTGGGGAGGCAGGAGCAGGCAACGGGGTCGGCGTAGGCTAGGGGCGTCCCCCCTGGGTCATGCCCATGCGCCCCGCCATCCCCAAGGCACGCCGGCAGCCCCTGGGAGCTCGGGCAGTGCGTGGGGACACTGGGCTGCCGCAGCTACAGAGAAGAGCTGCTGCGCTCAGCTCACAGCTGTCACGAGCTGGCTGTCCTCAGCCCAGCTGCAGCTGGGGGGGGCCGTGCTGCGGGAGCAGCAGCAGGGACGGGGAGCGCTGGGCCGGGAGGAGCAGCGTGGGGTCTGGCGTGTGCCCAGCGCCGCACTTACTTACAGTGACCAGTTGACGATGTTTCCCATCACCAAGAGCACCATTCGATCCTGCAAAAGGTGAGGGGGGGCTGTGAGGTGTGGGCGGGGGGAGCACTGCCAGGCCAGGTCTCCGCTGAGCCGGGGACCCCGGTGCCACGAGCCGTGGTGCCAGCACTCACCACGTACATGGGCCCGCTGCACTGCCGGACGCAGTCCGTGTACAGCACGTGCAAGATCCTACGCAGGATGCCCGAGTCTGAGGGGAGAGGAGAGGTCG